GAACGGGGGGGTGGCCCACGGTCGGTCGGAATAAGAGGAGGGGGGCGCAGGGGAGGAGCGGGGGGGGTGGCCCACGGTCGGTCGGAATAAGGGGACGGGGGCGCAAGGGAGGAGCGGGGGGGGGGCCCACGGTCGGTCGGAAAAGGGGAGGGGGCGCAAGGGGGGAGCGGGGGGGGGCCCACGGTCGGTCGGAATAAGCGGAGGGGGGCGCAAGGGGGGAGCGGAGGGGGTGGCCCACGGTCGGTCGGAATAAGGGGAGGGGGGCGCAGGGAGGGAGCGGGGGGGGTGGCCCACGGTCGGTCGGAATAAGGGAGGGGGCGCAGGGGAGGCGACGCGCGGCGGGGGCGCTGGGGGGGGAGCCACGGTCGGTCAGAATAAGGGGAGGGGAAGGGAGGGGCGCAGAAGAGGAGCGGGGGGAGTGGCCACGGCGGGCGGAAGAAGGGGACGGGGGCGCAAGGGGGGAGCGGGGGAGGCCCACGGGTCGGTCGGAATAAACGGAGGGGGGCGCAGGGGGGAGCGGAGGGGGGGCCCACGATCGGTCGGATAAGGGGAGGGGGGCGCAGGGAGGAGCGGGGGGAGGGGCCCACGGTCGGGCGGAAGAAGGGGGGGGCGCAAGGGGGGAGCGGGGGGGGGCCCACGGTCGGTCGGAATAAGCGGAGGGGGGCGCAAGGGGGGAGCGGAGGGGGTGGCCCACGGTCGGTCGGAATAAGGGGAGGGGGGCGCAGGGAGGGAGCGGGGGGGGTGGCCCACGGTCGGTCGGAATAATGGGAAGGGGGCGCAGGGGAGAAGCGGGGGGGGTGGCCCACGGTCGGTCGGAATAAGGGGAGGGGGGCGCAGGGGGGGAGGGGGAGGGGCCAGCACGACCACCAGCACGACCACCAGCACCTCCACCAGAACGGCCAGCAACACGACCGCGAGCACGACCACCAGCACGACCACCAACACGACCACCAGCACCTCCAGCACGGCCAGCCACCAGCACGACCACCAGCAGAACCACCAGCACGACCACCAGCACGACCACCAGCACCTCCACCAGAACGGCCACCAACACGACCGCCAGCACGACCACCAGCACAAGCACCGGCACGCCCAGCCACCAGCACGACCACCAGCACAACCACCAGCACGACCACCAGCACGATCACCAGCACGACCACCAGCACCTCCACCAGAACGGCCACCAACACGACCGCCAGCACGACCACCAGCACAAGCACCAGCACGACCACCAGCACGACCACCAGCACGACCACCAGCACGACCAGCCACCAGCACCTCCAGCACGGCCAGCCACCAGCACGACCAAGCACGACCACCAACACGACCACCAGCACCTCCAGCACGGCCAGCCACCAGCACGACCACCAGCACAACCACCAGCACGACCACCAGCACGACCACCAGCACGATCACCAGCACCTCCACCAGAACGGCCACCAACACGACCGCCAGCACGATCACCAGCACAACCACCAACGCGACCAGCCACCAGCACGACCACCAGCACAACCGCCAGCACGACCACCAGCACGACCACCAGCCCAGCACGACCACCAGCACGACCACCAGCACGACCAGCCAGCAGCACGACCACCAGCTCGACCACCAGCACTTCCCAGCACGACCACCAGCACAAGTACCAGCACGACCACCAGCACGACTGCCAGCACCTCCACCAGAACGGCCAGCAGCACGACCACCAGCACGACCACCAGCACGTCCACCAACCACGACCACCAGCACGGCCGCCAGCACAACCACCAGCACGACCGCATTATGGGCACACGGTCGGTCGAAATAAAGCAGTGCGAGATCACACCGGTAGGTATGATGATTAATTTCACAACCTGGCGATGGTGTAAGAATAGGGAATGATTAGCGGGCATGATGGGCAACCTCACTTCCAAGCCAAATCGCCACAGTGATCATTCATCATGCTCGTGGTCAAAAGAACTGAGTGACAAGAGAGCCCGAGGGGCAACCTCACCTCTAAAACGACCCGCGTCAGTGGTGACAGTTTCCCAGAATGGCAGCCCCCCAGGGACGGCGGGGTCTAATCTGAATCTGGGTGGTGCCTCACTCCGTGACCAGCAGCCTTCGAAAGTGGTGACAGTTTCACAGATCGCAGCCCCCCCCCAGGGATGGTGAGGTCTAATCTGAATCTGCGTGGTGCCTCACTCCGCTGGACCCACCAGCAGCCCTCGAATGTGGCGTCATTGTCGCAGACCGCAGGCCCCCAGGGATGGCGAGGTCTAATCTGAATCTGCGTGGTGCCTCACTCCGCTGGGCCCACCAGCGGCCCTCGAAAGTGGTGACCGTTTCGCAGATCGCAGCCCCCCAGGGACGGCCAGGTCTAATCTGAATCTGCGTGGTGCCTCACTCCGCTGGACCCACCAGCAGCCCTCGAAAGTGGTGACCGTTTCGCAGATCGCAGACCCCCAGGGATGGCGAGGTCTAATCTGAATCGGCGTGGTGCCTCACCCCGCTGGACCCACCAGCAACCCTCGAATGTGGCGGCAGTTTCGCAGATCGCAGCCCCCCAGGGATGGCGAGGTCTAGTCTGGATCTGCGTGGTGCCCCACCTCGCTGGACCCACCAGCCGCCCTCGAATGTGGCGACAGTTTCGCAACCAGCAGCCCTCGAATGTGGCGTCAGTGTCGCAGATCGCAGCCCCCCAGGGATGGCGAGGTCTAATCTGAGTCTGCGTTGTGCCTCACTCCGCTGGACCCACCCTCAGCCCTCGAATGTGGCGAGAGTTTCGCAGATCGCAGCCCCCCAAGGATGGCGAGGTCTAATCTGAATCTGCGTGGTGCCTCACTCCGCTGGACCCACCAGCAGCCCTCGAAAGTCGAGGTCTAATCTGAATCTGCGTGGTGCCTCACTCCGCTGGACCCACCAGCAGCCCTCGAATGTGGCGTCAGTGTCGCAGATCGCAGCCCCCCAGGGATGGCGAGGTCTAATCTGAATCTGCGTGGTGCCTCACCCCGCTGGACCCACCAGCAGCCCTCGAAAGTGGTGACAGTTTCGCAGATCGCAGCCCCCCAGGGATGGCGAGGTCTAATCTGAATCTGCGTGGTGCCTCACTCCGCTGGACCCACCAGCAGCCCTCGAAAGTGGCGACAGTTTCACAGATCGCAGCCCAAAAGGGATGACGTAAAAGGCAAGAGAGAAGAGGAGGAGCGAAGAGAGGAGGAGAAGGGAAGCAAGAGAGGAGGAGCGAAGAGAGGAGAAGGGATGCAAGAGAGAAGAGGAGGAGCGAAGAGAGGCGGAGAAGGGAAGCAAGAGAGGAGAGGAAGAGAGAAGAGAGGAGGAGGCGGAAAGGAAGGAAGGTGGAGACCGCAGTGCTCTATTCAAAACGAGTACCCAACGCAGGAGGGTTGGGAAAAAGTAAGTGCAATACTTGCCCATGTTCAGCGCATATGTTGTACATATGTTGTATATGGCGAGTGTGTGTTTGCGCATGTGATGTACATGTGTTGTGTCTGTGTTGTATACTGTGTGTACGTGTTGTGTTATACATGGTATATGGTTTGCACATGTGGTGCATATGTGCCGCGTGTACTCTAAGGATGATGTGTGTAAATGCTGGGCATGCTTTGCGCACGGTTTGCAGCGGTGTTCTATCTGGTTAGAATACGGCTTGCATGTGTGTTGTATGGTTTGTGTCTAGGTGTTGCAGATGGCTGTATGTGTGGCTTGTCTGCATTTTGTGTGTGTGTGATGTGCATGTGTTGTACATGTGTTACAAATGTTTGTATGTGGTTCGTGCATGTTTGGTGTATGCACTGCATGTGTTGCGTATACGTGATGTGTGTCGTACATGCGTAATGTATGGATTGTAAATGGTTTACATGTAACTTCCATACGTGTTGAAACGATTTCGTGTACATTTAATTTGTGGTGTATAAAATTATACGTACATGTAGTGGAAGTATATGTGATCTAGGTGGCTTCTCTACGGTTTTGAGCATGTTGAGTATAGGTGTTGTAAATGTTGCTTGCGTGCCTTGTATATGCGTTGTATGTGTGTTTGCACATGTGTTGCCAAGGCTTGCGCATGGCTTGAATACGTTGCGCATGCGCCTTCTATACGCCGCGCCGCCCAGGAGGCCCGACGAGGACAGCGCCGTGCCACTCGGGCAAACTCGGCGCCGATCGCAAACCACACACCCCCGCGTAACCATCCATCCCTCTGTAGTCGCCGACCTATGCTCGGCCTCTCTACGTAGCGCTCCATCTGGCGGCGAGCGAGGGGGGGAAGTAAGAAGGAGAAGGCCTTCTCAGAAGGCGGCGGGGCTTCTCAAAGCCCTCGCGCCGTGTGAGAAGTTTTCTGTGCCTTCGGGGAAGGGATCAGAAAGCCTCCCCGAAGGCACGGGGACTTCCGAACCCTCTCAGAACGCTCTTCTCACTTCCCCCCGGGCTCGCCGCCGATGAACGGGGACCCGAGGGCCTGAATCGACGGACAACTCTGTGATCCCCTGGACGTCTGTTTACCCACTGTGTGTGTTGCCCCCGTGAAGCTCCGCTGGTAGCGTGAGGCCCGTGTCGGCCCTCACTGCACCGCCTGCATCGTTTTGAGGGGCTCCAGCAGACGAGCACGGGTTGGCGCTGGCAAACGCTCTGCGCACCATCAGAACAAGAAACAACTGCATACATGTGCTATGTTGGCGCTTCGCGCGGATCCGAGAAATCTGCGCGCAGAGCCAGCAAATAATGGTCATGTCGTTTTTTCTCTTCTTCCGAATCATCGAAGACGCCCAGATTCCCGTCTCACTCCCTCGGAGCCCGGCGACTTGAGACACCGACAGTTCGAAATCGGCTCAAAATCGGTCCCCGGACCCCTCCTGGGGTCCAAACGGCTTCATTTTTCACGCTGCGTCCAGCCGTGGCGACGAGGGGTCCCCCCGAAGGCCAACTCCCAGTGTCTCAAACGGCCCTCCCCTGACTCCCCCCAAGGCTCACCGCCGAATTTCCATCGTCCCGACCCCACGCTCGGCCTCTCCACGTAGCGCCCGATCCGGCGCTGCTGCAGCACGGCCAGCCTGCACGGCAGCACGGCGGCCAGGAGCGCCAGCGGGAGGAGGCACGCCAGCCAGGGGCGGCTGCCGAGGCCTGCCGATGGGGGGGGCCGCTGCTCGCCAGGCAACCGTCGGCGGCGAACGACGACCGAACGGAAGCGGAACGACGAACAACGGAAACAATACGGACACGGAAGACACTGCTCAGCTCGAGCCCTCCCCTCTCCAATCAACCCCGACTGTGGCACGTCTCCGAGAAGAAGCGGGAACTCCCCCCTCGATACCACCCGCCCCTCTTGGAGATCACGGGTCGAGGCAGCGGGCCCTATATGGGCAGGCCTCGGCCGCCACCGATTGGGCGAAAGAAGCGGCTGAGGCCAGCTTCCCGGGGGTAGTTGTTCTTCGTGCGTGCAGTTTGGATGGCCTGAGGGCCCGAAATCGGCGGCGAGCGAGTGAGGAGGAGAAGGCCCTCGGAGGAGGCGGCGGAACTTCTCGGAAGCCATCGCGCCTTCTGAGAGGTCTTCTTGCGTCTTCGGGGGAGGCTCAGAAAACTTATCAGAAGGCCATGGGACTTCCGAGCCCTCTGATAAGATCCGCCCCTCCTCACCTGCCCCCTCGAGATGGCCGCTGAAACTGCTCGCAGATGGCCTAGATCCGCCGCGAGGGACTACGATTCGTGACATCGAGGCAAGCATGTACCGCCGGTTCATGTCGTGCCGACCCCGGCGTTGGTCCCGGACACCGCTGGAACCGTTCGACCGGCAATTTACCAAAACGTCCGATCGCTCAAAGTCGACCGACTTGGGGTCGCCAGCGGCGTTCAACCTTGAACACCGCGCTGGGGTCGCCGCTTGTCGACACGACGCGAACCTACCGCAGAGGTGCGTGCGTGTGCTTCTTGAACAGGGACCGACCGTCCCGGCATTCCTAGAGTCCTACCACGACATGTTCTCAGAACAAAAAAATGTTCTAAGAACGAAAACCGTTTTCTTAGAACAGAAGCCCGATGTGATAGAACAAGACAGTCCCAGCCAGAAATGTTCTAAGAACATGTTCGTGGGAACCACAAAAGGTTCTTAGAACATTGTTTGGTGGGCCTATTGGCGGACCAAGACGCTTCGCCACTGCTTGACTCTTGCAGCTGGACCATCGGTCCGCCCGTGCCCGGCCTGCCAGAGCGCGCGTGCGGCCCACGTCTGTTGCGCTGCCGCACGCCCAGGAGGTGCGCTTGTGCGTGTGTGTGCGCGTGTGTGCTCGGACATCTGCGAGAGGTGGTGGAGCGCGCTCGGAGAAAGATTCGGCCATGGAGCCAGAGGATCAAAGAACGCTGATGAGGCTGTGTGCCAGTGTCGGGCTAACGGTTCGCCCCTAGCGGGAGGCTCTCAGGAACTTGCTGACGATGTGCGTGAAAAACGGTATGGAAACATTGCCCCCAGGCGTGAGCAATGAACAAACGTAGAGGAACAACAAGCGGCATGAACAAAAACTGTTGGCGGTCCGCGCGGATTTCTTGGATCTGCGCTGGACCCCTCATCCCTGGCGCGCGGAGCGCGCCAAGGGCGGCGCCGGAGGCGCCGCCCGGGGGCGCCAGCGCAGATCCAAGAAATCCGCGAGGACCGTCGAAAGCGTATGTTTATGGCGCTGTTTCTTCTTCGGCACACTGCCCCCAAACGTGAGCAGGGAACACATGGCTGCCATGCCGGGTGCTCACCCTCCCCTACGCGCATCCCCCGTTCCGCTGCTCGGAAGGTGGGCCCCTTGAGACACCCGAGGGCTATCCTGGGCCCACGCACGGCCAGGAGAACAACAATTCCAGATCTCTGACGAAATTAGATGTTCAGTCTGGATTGTGTTTTGATGATGCGCAGAGCGTTTGCTGGCGCCAACATGTGCTCGTCCACTGGATCCCCTCAAAACAATGACACACAAGCGACACTCTGCCGGTGGAGCTGAATGGGGGCAATACACACAGATTAGGCTCACACACGTCCAGGGGGTCATAGAGTTTTCCGTCGATTTGGGCCATCGGGTCCCCCTTCATCGGCGGCAAGCCCAGGGGGGAAGTGAGGAGGGGCGGGCCTTCTCAGAGGGCTCGGAAGTCCCCTGGCCTTCCGAGAAGTTCTCTGAGCCTTCCCCCGAAGACGCAGAAGACCTCTCAGAGGGCGCGAGGGCTTCTGAAAAGTCCCGCCGCCCACAGTCGGGGTCGATTGGAGAGGAGAGGGCCCGAGCCAAGCAGTGCCTGCCGCTTTCGTTCTGCTCTCGCGGTGCCCCCGCCTTCGTCCCCGTCCTGGAGACAGAACGACCTCCCAACGAAAAGGGTCCACGCAAGCGCCGGAGCACCGTTCGGCTCGAGCCCTGGGAGAGGACACGCGAGAGGACACAAGATCCCTCCGAGGGCCACGTTGCCACATGAATGTGGAGGGCATGGGTCGCGAAACAGGGGGCACAAGAGTACCCACGATTTGGCAGGGTCGACATATGCATCTACCTCGACTGTGTGGTCTCGCGTCGGGGTGTTTTCAGACAAGACCAGGACAGGGCGAGGCGAGGCGAGCGCCGACACCGCTCCGTGACCACCGTGCGCGCGCATCGCCTCCTGAGGACGGCGGCAGGACCGCAGCCCGTCAGAGAATGTCGGCCCATCTCCAGCTGGGCCCATGCGGTCCTCTGCTAGCCCCAGAACAAGAACAACATCGGGTCGGGGCATCACGGGGATCTGCGGGATCTGCTGCACGTTTTCTTATTCTGCGCTTCGACATGGGCGGAAGGGAGGGGGAGGAGGGGGGGCTCCAGACCTTTGCTTAGGGCGACTGTTTGCACCAGTGCGTCCTCTGGGGGAGACTCCACCTGCTTGGAAGAGGCGCCCCAAACACAGGGACAGCCAAGAGGGGGGGCGCAAATCATGGCCGGCGGCACGTGCGCGGCCCAAGGGGGGGGGACCAGGGACGTAATGAAACAAGAAGAAGCGCCTCAAGTCATGAAATCTAGTTACACCCCCCCTAGTCATCACCCTCCTCTTGGCCGCTCCGAAAAACAGCAAAGATCTACTCCAGGGGGACAGGATGCGAGGGCCCGCGAGGATCGGCAGTACAACGAACAAAAGAACGATCACCTGGCGGTTATGGAGGATGCTTTTATCGGTCGCCGCAGCCTTCTCCGCGACGCTCTGCGGGAGTTCGGAAACGCTGTGAAACGATTTATAACATCCAAGTCCTGGCCCCGCCCGCTTCTTGCGGGCTTTCTTGCGCCGGGGCGCTCCAGCAGCTGCGTCTCGTCGAGAGCTCTCCAGTGGTTCAGGAGCCGGAGAAGGAGGAGGAGAAGGAGGATGGAGGATGGAGGATGGAGGATGGAGGATGGAGGATGGGAGGAGGAGGAGGAGGCGGAGGAGGAGGAGGAGGAGGCGGAGGCGGAGGAGGAGGAGGAGGAGACGGAGACAGAGTGAGGGAGGAGGGAGGAACAGGAGGGAGGTGGGACGAGGGAGGAGGCAGGAGGAGGGAGGATGGATGCAGGGAGGGGGGACGAGGCAGAATGGAGCAGGGGGGGAGGAGGGAGGAGGCAGAAGGGAGGAGGGAGGAGCGAGGCGGGAAGTGGGAGGGAGGAGGAGGGAGGTGGGAGGGAGGAGGAGGGAGGAGGGAAGAGGAGGGAGGAGGAGGAGGGAGGAGGAGGAGGAGAGGCGGGAGGAGGAGGGAGAGGAGGGAGGAGGGAGGAGGGAGAAGGAGGAGGAGGAGAAGGGAGGAGGAGGAGGAGCAGGGAGGGGGGAGGGGAACGGGTCGTCCCCATCGGCCGCTACGGCCCGAAGGCCGCGCGGCGGAGGGGCCCGGACGGGACACCCTTCGGGTCGCCCACACAGCCTCGCGCCCCGCCGCGCCGCCGCCCCCCGAGCGGGGCGCACCTCTCCGCCCCAGGACCGCTGGGCTCGAACCGCGCGAGGAGCACCGCGCCCCCAGGGATTCATCGGCGACGTCGGCGTGGGGAAGCACGGGCTCCGCATCGCCGATGCAGCGGCGATGCGGCGCGATCCTCCGACCACCCTCCGACTAGGAGGCCTGAGAGTTTGCAATAACTACCATGTGGGACCTGCTCTAAAGCAGAAACATGCCGTGGACGTATCTACCCATTCTCCGACCTTGCACCGCGCCGAACGCAACGGCCACGCTGTCCGTAGACGTATCCACCCCGAACGTGTCCATGGACGTCACGGCACCCAATGTGTCCGTAGACGCTTGTGACTAGGACGTAAGAAAGGTACTTGGCATCGTGCACAGATGTTGGTCTTCTAGAAGCAGGTAGGCTTGGCCCTCCAACCCGCGGGTGACCCAGAGACAAGTTGAGACGAAACGAAGACGAAAATACATTAGTGAGGATACACAGAGAAACTCTGAGATGCGCTGGCTCTGGGGAATGTCTCGGCCGCCGCGGCCCTCTCAGAGCGTTCCGGAACGCTCTGAGAGCGTTCGGGAACGCTCTGGAACGGATTTATCCTCGTCCTAATTCCGTTCGACAAGGGCCACTTTTTGGCCTTGAGATGGACCCCCTCGTCGCCATGGCTGCAATCAGCTCGGGAAAACGGGTGCGTCTGGACCCCGGAAAGGGGTCTGGGGCGGAGGAGGAGGAGGAGGAGGAGGAGGAGGAGGAGGAGGAGGAGGCAGGACGAGGAGGAGGAGGCAGGACGAGGAGGGAGGAGGAGGGAGGAGGAGGAGGAGGACAGATTCTTCTGAGCGGGCTTGGGCTGGGCGGGAGGGCCCCCGTTGTCTCACCGCCGTTGTCTCCTGGCTCGCAGAGGGCTACATGCAACCCTCGCCGGGAGCCCGACCCTGGAGCCCCGCGCGCGAGATGCAACTGGGGAAAAACCCGTCCCTGCGGGCTTGTCGACTTTCCACCAATCAGGTAGATGCAACTGAATCTGCGCAAATCCTGGCAACTACAAGTAAATCGAAGTACCTCTGGGCAAATCCAAGTGAATCCAGAGATCTCGAGGGAAGACTGGAGCAACTCGCGGCCGCTCCAGCGCGAGTCGAAGGACGGCAGAAGTCTAGAAGCCTTTAACGAATCCATAATGCCCCGAACGCAGGAGAGACCCCAAAACGCCTCAAGCGGCCCCCAAGGGGTCCCCCAGACGCCTAAAAGACCCGCCCAAGAGTCCGAGACTCTCCTATGCATCCAAGTGGATTTCTATACATCCAAGTGTGGCACCCCAAGAGACCCTCTTGTACATCCAAGTGGAGTCCGAACCGCAGCCCAAGCACGGCGGCGGGATGGGCCAGAGGCCAATATGATACCCCGAACGCAGCAGCTGCTTCGACGAAAATCACAGAAAAAACGCGCGGAACGAAGAAACCCAATGTAACATGACGGAAAGCAACCGGTTTCTGGGTGCACGTTACTGCCTCAGACATCTAGCGCTCCAATCAATGTTTTCGATGCGTGGAACCCCGAAGGTCTGGACAACTTCCCTAGGGCGGGTGCTTCATCCTGAATCGTTGTTTCACGGTCCCAGGGCCCGTCGAGGGCCTCCAGACGTCGAAAACAGACAGACACTGGCCGCTATCACTTATTCTGATCCTCGGATCTCTGGGCTGGTTTCTTGGTGCGTGCCCCAACTGCACCAGCATGGAGCACCAGCTCTTCCACCTCCACCGCCTCCTCCTCCTCCCTTCCGATGAGGCCAAAAGGCTCAGACGTGCTCTGTCGAGCCAAGGCCAGCCTGGAGCACCAGCTCCTCCACCTCCACAGCCTCCTCCTCCCTTCCGATGAGGCCAAAAGGCTCAGACGTGCTCTGTCGAGCCCGAGGCCAGCCTGGGCGGCATTGCGTGGCACGCCGGGGCCTCGGGGAACTTGCGCCGTGGTCGCTTGCACGATCGCCGATCTCTCGCCGAGTCCTCCTCCTCCCCCTCCATGCTCGGAGGCAGCTCCTGGGAGGTGCAAGAACGATTGAAAGCTAAGGCCAGATGTGAAAGTCAGATGCAGCCCAAGGCCAAGCCCGATCAAGCTGGATTGCGCCGATTCCAATAGGATGTATGCTAGATTCTGGAGGATTGGGCTGGTCTTCGACAACGGATGTACCGGCGCAGACGCTGACCTTTCCGAAGTTGCACCGTACGCCTCCTGTAGCCCCATAGTCCATTCATTCTCGGGCGCAAGTTAACATGGATTACCCATCGGTCGGAAGAAGTGGGTAGACACATGAAGTAGAAAGGCGTTGGAAGTGGATTGGGCTTCCGCCCGCACCTTGAAGAGGAGGGAAGAGGGAAAACCGCTCGACTCCAACGATACGCACTCTCAACGACCGGCGCGTACAGATCCACGGATCTGGGCGCGCAAAGCCAGATCCGCAGCCCGGGGAATGGGCCCCCCCGCGAAGAAGGAGGCCAGAGCCCGGCCCCCCGACGTCGCCCGGGACCGGCAAGGGCCCCCAGAGGCCGAAGCAAACGAAAAACCTCCTTGATGGGCCTGGGAGGAGGAGGAGGAGGAGGAGGAGGAGGAGGAGGAGGAGGAGGAGGAGGAGGAGGACCCCATCCCCTCCAACTTATGGTGGTGGTGGTGGAAAATAGGCGCATCACTCCTGTCGTGAATTTTTCATGACTCGAGTGGGCCTGGGAGTGCCGCTTGACCTGGCGAGTGACCGCGCCGCTGCACGGAAGCCTTAAGTCCATGTTTGCGCTTCCTCGACACACACCCCTCTTTCCCGTCCCTGCTCCTCCCCCCTGCGTAGCCTCCTGCCCCTTCTCCCCGTGGGGCAAGGAAGAGGGGGGGAATCGAGGGGGGGCAGCGAGCTTCTCGACAGGATTTATCGTGGCTTGTGGCCTGAGGGCTTGATCTGCAAGTATATGCTGGTCAGGCTTTGTCGGTGATCATTCTGCGGCAGCTCGGGGGACCCTCCATACCATCTTGCTTGCTCCTGCAAATCGACGCTGATCGACGCGAGTCGACGCTACATCTACGCTGATCGACGCTAGCCGATTCAAAATCTGCGCTACCTTATCGACGACATACCAGACGCTCGCCGACGCCAACCACTCTGAAGACGGAATGGCGAGGGTACCCACGGCTCCAATGACTGAAGAGGATGAGGATGAGGATGAGGAGGAGGAGGAGGAGGAGGAGGACAAGGACAAGGAGGAGAAGGAGGAGGAGGAGGAGGAGGAGGAGGAAGAGGAGGAGGAGGAGGAGGGGGGGGGGGAGGAGGAATGATCCTGCTCCTGCTCCTGTTCCTGTTCCCTCCTCGCCGTCCCGCTGCCGATCTCCTGCTCCCCCACGGCCCGCCTGCGCAGCAGACCACCGAGCCCGTGGCGCCGCAGGAGGCGATGGCGAACTCCAGGGACAGCCCCCCGTAGACCTGGGGACTCTGCCCCTCTTAGGGAGGAGGAGGAGGAGGAGGAGGAGGAGGAGGAGGAGGAGGCGGAGGAGGCGGAGGAGGGAGGAGGAGGAGGAGGCGGAGGGAGGAGGAGGAGCGGAGGGAGGAGGAGGGGAGGAGGAGGAGGAGGAGGAGGAGGCGGAGGAGGAGGAGGCGAAGGGAGGAGGAGGAGGCGAAGGGAAGAGGAGGAGGAGGAGGAGGAGGAGGAGGAGGAGGAGGAGGAGCAGGCGCAGGAGCAGGAGGAGCAGGAGGCTGAGGAGAGGAGCAGAAGGAGGAGGAGGAGAAGGAGGAGGAGGCGGAGGGAGAAGGAGGAGAAGGAAAAGGAGGAGGAGGAGGAGGAGGAGCAGGAGCAGGAACAGGAGGAGCAGGAGGAGGCTGAGGAGAGGAGCAGAAGGAGGAGGAGGAGGAGGAGGAGAACAGGAAGAACATATCTTGCTTCTTTCGCGGGACCTCGTCTGTCCCGTCACGCCCCCATCCGCGTCGGATCCGCGTCGGATCCGAGGTGGACGCGTCGAAGCCGCGTCGGATCCGCGTCCATGCGACGCCAAATCCATGGGCGACGGGCAAGTGCAATGCTGAAGGTATCGATGGTGATTGATGTACCATGCCAATGGCAAGGCTATACTGTGCCTTGGTGAATTGAAATCTATCGTGCCGCGTTGCACTTAACTGCTCTATCGCGTTGTGGATCTGGTCGCCCCTGGCATCCAAGTCCTTGCCGAGCGGAACAACATTGGGGAAACACAAAACTGGGGTTCGGGGGACTCGGGTTGGCCTGACGCGGCCATCATGAACATTGCGGGACCCAGATTGAAATTTGGCACGACCTTCCGCTGAAACCATCCCACGAAAACCGGAGCGTGAAAAATATGGGAGACGCTCCTCAAAAGGCGTCGGCAAACCGAGCGTGTTCGTGCGAATATTCACGACGGACCGAACAAGGGAGGAGCCTCGGGCGGGTGATCATGGGGGGTGACCTACATGGGGGGGTGAAGAAAAGGGGCCAACAGGGGCCCTTTGGGGCCCCTTTTGGAGCCCCCGCTGGCTTCAAAAGGGGCCCTCAAGGGCCCCTAGATGGCCCTTTTCTCCACCTACCATCTAAAACGCTCCCTACTACCTACCACCCGCCCGAGGTCCGTGCGAAAAATCACGGCGGAAGGCTTCCGGCAATGTTCGCCCCGACCACAAGAAACCCAACCCTCAGACCCCTGGGGTCTCAGGGCTGGGTCCTGGGGTCCCCAGGACGTCCTGGGGTCCCCAGGACGTCCATCGATGTTTGGTGTGAGGACGTCGCGCTCTCCACAGCAAAACCTTCGAAACCCAGGAAACTCAGGGCACCCTGGAGGCAAGCGCAGGGTGTTTCTTGGCCTGGGCCTCCACTGTAGGGCAGACCACCGACGTCGCTTGCGACTGCCCCGCGCCCCTCCGCCTCGCGCCGGTCGGGGCACGTGACAGGGTGCGGCGGGGTGCGCGCGTGCCCCTCGGCAGGGGGCGCGGTCCAAGGCACGGCATCGTTTCAGCACGGCCGGGCCATGGCTGGGCCCGCGACGCACAGATTCGGCCGCGGCCGAAGAGGGCGAAAAACCTCCGTCCTGCTTCTTGTTCACCATGTGCTGCATCTCTGGGTTCAAATGGGGGATCGACTACAATTCTGTTGCTCCTATCGTACTTACGGACCACATCCCGAAAATCCGCTGACCCCTTGGGGTCACGGCGTGTGAGATGCTTCCCCCTTCCCAAACCCCTCCCCAGGGAGCCCGGTCTGGCCGGTTGGGAAGGGGGGGGTGGGGGGCAAAGGTGTCGGCCGCACCCTTGGAGCCTCAGGGGGCCCCAAGACGGGCCAAGAGGGCCCCCAAAGGCCCCCCGGACGGTCCAAGAGGGCTACGAGTCGCCGAAAGATCGCTCCAAGACTCCAAGGATTGCCTGCAGACGGTCCCAGAGGCCCCCAAGACGCCCCAAGAAGCCACCAAGAGGCCCTCCATACGTAAAAATCGTGCCATTCGCCTCTTTTTTGCCACCAAGACGCCCTCATATGGAAAACGTGCAATTTTGGCACATTCGCCTCTTGGGCTTTCACGAGGCCCACAACGGCCCAAGATAGCCCAAGAAGCCCCCAAGGCCAAGGGGGCTCCAAGACGGCCCAAGACGGCCCCAGAAGCTTCCAAAACGACCCAGGAGGGCCCCAGGACGGCCCCGAGAGGAGGCCCAGAGGGGGAACCCGAGTGAACGTTTTCGAGCACTCGGCCCCGAAAAAACCTGGGGAGGCGCCAATAGGCCCCCAAGAGGCTCCCACGAGGCCCCCGATAGGCCCAAAAGAGGCTCGTAGAGGCATCAAAACGGCTCCCAAGAGGCCTCAAAAGTGCTGCCAAGAGAACCTAGAGAAGCCCAAAAGCAGAGCCGCGATCCGCCAACCGCCCGCGACGAAATCCCAAGAAGCTGAAACCCCAAGATTACCCAGAAATCGTTCCGCTAACTCAGTTTTTCACTCTTACTGCCGCCCCAAGGGGTCGGCGGTGCGGCGTCAGCCAATGAATAATTTCGAGCACCCAGAACAATATCGAAACAAAATCGAACGAATTCGCCTCCCAGGGCCCGACACGTGAACCCCCCATTTCGGTACTTTCCTGGTGCTTGGAATTCTTTCTGGTGGCCAAGGCTAGAATTTGTTTGGAAGATCATGAGACTACAAAATGGAATGACCCCAAAATGGATTCCCCGTCGAGCCCATTGAACAATAATGTGTAATGCTGATACATCTGCGAACCTTCTAAGTCTGATCATTCCGCAGATCCGATGGACATTTCAGTTCTGGGGTAGAGCAATTCTGTAGTCGATCCCCTACCCGATCGGTATAGAGGCCTCCTAGATGGGTTTCCACTAGATGGGGTTGAAAAGATTGCGTCGCGGCGACGTCGGCGTGCGGAAACACGGGCTCTACATCGAGCCGCATCGTCGATGCGGCGCGATCCTCCGACCCCATCTACCCAGACCCCCGACTTCGTGATTTGTTTCACAATATTAACCCCCAAAGGTCTCGACCCCTTCCCCGGGGCGGGTTTTTCGTCCTGAGTCTTTGTTGACGGTCCCGAGACCCGGTGAGGGCCCCTGGAGACCAAAAATAGAGAACAACCTCCAGTCATTATTTCTCCCAACCATCCTGTGGTGTTGGGCCCTTGTTTTGAAGAGACGGTGCTCCGCGTTCCTTCCTCCTTCCAACTCCTCCTCCCCTTCCTCCCTCCTCCTCCTCCTCCTCCTCCTCGTCCTCCTCGAATCATCATCATCAGCAGCATCATAATCATGATCATCATCATCATCATCAGCAGCAACAGCATCATAATCACCATCATCACCATCATCATCACAACCATCATCATCATCACCACCATCATCATCATCATCATCATCATCATCATCATCATCACCACCATCATCATCATCATCATCATCATCATCATCACCATCATAATCATCATCACCAACATCACCACCATCACCACCACCATCATCATCATCATCATCATCATCACCATCATCACCATCACCATCACCATCACCATCACCATCACCATCACCATCATCACCATCACCATCACCATCACCAGCACCAGCACCAGCATCAGCATCAGCATCAGCATCAGCATCAGCATCAGCATCAGCATCAGCAGCATCATCATCATCATCATCATCATCAGCATCATCATCATCAACATCATCATCACCGAATTCGGCACACCCATCACACGTGTCGAGGCCCCGCAGGGAGCTTCACCGAAGGCCCCAGCGAGAGGATCCGCATGGCACCCGCCCCATTTCGGCACACCCCTCGCACGGTTCGTGGCCCTTAGGGGGCTCCACCGAAGGCCCAAACGGGAGGGTCCGCATGGCACCGCCGCCCCTATTTCGGCACACCCCTCACACGTTTCGTGGCCCCATAGGGAGCTCCACCGAAGGCCCCAGCGGGAGGGTCCGCATGGCACCGCCGCCCCATTTCGGCACACCACTCACAAGTTTCGTGGCCCTGTAAGGAGCTCCACCAAAGGCCCCAGCGAAAGGGTCCTCATGGCACCGCCGCCCCATTTCGGCACACCCCTCACACGCTTCGTGGGCCCATAGGGAGCTGCACCGAAGGCCCCAGCGTCAGGGTCCGCATGGCACCGACGCCCCATGTCGGCATACCCATCACACTGTTCGTGGCCCCATAGGGAGCTCCACCGAAGGCCCCAGCGGGAGGGTCCGCATGGCACCGCCGCCACATTTCGGCACACCCCTCATACGTTTCGAGGCCCCATAGGGAGCTCCACCGAAAGCGTCCGTGGAAAAAGGTTCGCATGGCACCGCCGCCCAATTTCGGCACACGTCTCACGCAGCTTTTGGCCCCATGAAGAGCTCCACCGAAGGCCCCAGCGGGCGGGAGAGTCCGCATGGCACCGCCACCCCATTTCGGCACACCCCTCACACGCTTCGTGGGCCCATAGGGGGCTCCACCGAAGGCCCCAGCGTCAGGGTCCGCATGGCACCGACGCCCCTATTTCGGCACACCCCTCACACGGTTCGTGGCCCCATAGGGAGCTCCACCGAAGGCCCCAGCGGGAGGGTCCGCATGGCACCGCCGCCCCATTTCGGCACACCACTCACAAGTTTCGTGGCCCCATAAGGAGCTCCGCCGAAAGCTCCAGCGGAAAAGTCCGCATGGCACCGCCGCCCCATTGTGGCACGCCCCTCACACGGTCCGTGGCCCCATAGGGAGCTCCACCGAAGGTTTCCGTGGAAGGGTCCGCATGGCACGGGCCGCGCACTGGGCTCGGGCGAAACCAAACATATTCCCCGCTCGCCCGCGTCAATCTTTCTCCCCCATTCATGCACGCCGCAGTTCTTGTTACTGCCCCCCCCTTCGTCTCCTCTCCCCCGCTGTTCTCGCAGCAGCAGGTGGCTGAGTCATTCGTCAGGCTAATCTTCACAATGCGAGGGGGCCTGGCTACTCC